TATCATTACAATAATATCCGCTTCAACGCTGATTTTGAATGGATTCGGATCTGATAAAAGTAGATAAAATAATTTATAGAAAATTAATTTAAATATTAATGAACAATTACTTTAATTTGATACATTCTTATGTGTCTAGGAGAAGTTATTAGTACTTTAATATCAATTTTTATATTATGTTGCAATAATTACACGAACGTGCCACACCACAAGTCCCCGTCCATATGGAAAGGATATCAGGAGATATTGAATGCTGACATTATGCATTATTCCAACGTCTCGGTTATACTTCAAAATAATTGATAACAGTTGGTAAAAAAAAATTATCACTGCATATTCATTAATATTTCTGCTTTTATTTGGAAGACTGCCGATAAAAAAGTATAAAGTTTATATATTTATCATTATTTACTTGATATTTTAGTTTAATGAATAACGATGTGACTACTTCAAAATCTATATATATCAAAATTTATATAATTTATACGAAATAGAGGGGTGGACGAGTTTTAAATATGTTTCCGTCAAAATCTTTGGATGTATTAGAATATACGTATGGAGAAGAAATTGCTCTGTGAAATTAATTTATTTAAAAAACTTCGTAAAGTTTATTATTTTAATTGAAAATGATAATATTATAATAAAATTGTCCTATTTAGATTATAAATATTTATAAACGTTTTTTACACTTTTACATCGTGTTGATAAAAAATATTGAAATAATTTCTTACTTTGCAATCTCGTACGTTAAATCTACGCATTTATAATGCTTTTTTAATAAAAATGTGCGTTGAAATGTATTATTTAATATATCGTAAATATTAATGTAATATCTAGGGTAATCAAAGTTGCGAAGAAAAACTACGATAATGATCGTTTTAAAATGTGGAAATGAAAAGCAATTTTTATGTACCAAAGGTAGTATCATTCAGAGATTATTAATTAATGGAATTCCATCACGTCATATACTTATTTCCTCGTTTTTCACCTTCACCTTTCCTTCTCTTCCTTCATACTCTTTCAGTTCTCGTGCAGTCGACTTCAACGCACCTATCGAAGGTTTATCATTTATCACTTCGATGAAAATTCTTGCTTAATTATACCTCTCGTCCATTGCTGACGTTGAATTTCATTCCATCGAGTTTCATTTATTTCTCATTTTATATCCGCGATGTCGAAGCTCTGATTTGATAGGATGAATTTACATGTGAAATAGTGAATGATAGGATATGCGAGCAGAGGAAACGTCGAAACGAAGACAGAAATGCGTCATGTACGTAAACTCTTTACAACTGACTTCTATATATGTATGTGTATTAGTGATATACATGTGCCTAAGGGACGATAAGTAGATAGACAGCTACGTCGAACAATTTTGAAACATTGAAGTTCATTGAATTTGTTTTTGCCAAAGTATTTTATACTATTCTGACATTTCGAGTGTCATATATGATATTAATTTCATAAAGATACAAACGGAGATTAGTACATATTCATTACCACTATTAAAAATCTTATATAAAAATTAAATGTATTGATACAACTAAAAGGTAGCAGTCGCGTGTCTATCTCATACTCATCATCAGCTGATTATTAGCTTTATTTCAAGCTCTATTAAAAGTTATTTCGAGAGACTATTATAACAATACCATATTGAATATATATTTATCAATAAATATAATAAGCCATAATCGTTGTTAACCACGTGTAATTTCATGTAAATGATTTAAAAGCAGAATATTAAAAGCCGATTTTAAAATACTTTTGTTCCATTGTGTTGGTTGTTCTTAATTTTCAAATATCATTCGAATTAAAATGAATATATTTACTGCTCCAGGCATACTCGATATATCGAATTTCATGCATTAGAGCATCGGTTGCTACTTTATACTTCATCTCCATCATCGAATAGCCATTTGCCTTGTTAGTATAAAACAAAAAGGTACCGTAAATTTTCTATAAACCATTGAGGTCTGTGGCTACGTATCTTTTACATATATTACTAAGTAATTCATTTTATTACAATTGTATTGGTACATGGATAAATAAGAATACGAAATGCATAAACTATTCGTCTCTAATGGGATTCTCGCTTGCATTGTTTCGGCCATACAAAACATCTGTATTATTCTCCCTTTCACTTACAAATTTTTGAAGGCTAAATTTACCAAGAAAGCGAATAAACGCTCAAGTTATTTCAACGTCTTCTATCTTTATTAGAAGTTCTTTTTGAGGTCGTTATTTTGCTACTTGAGAAGAGACAAGAGAAAGGTTTCAAAAGCGATAAAAAGGTTACTTAAAATTTCTAAGGAAGTCGGACGATGTCTTATTATGTTTTATAAAAGCGATTTGTTAAAAAAAAAAAAAAAAAAAACTTAATACGTTGCTACTATCCGAAAATAAATTCTTTACTTTTACATAAGATTTTAATTTAAGATACATGATTAAAAATTGATTAAACAATTCCAAACAAATAGTTTTGAAATAGCCAAACATTTTTCAGTTTTTATAATCAAGAATTTTCAACTAATCAACTTAATTATGTCCAAACAAATTTCAAGCTGATTTTTCATAATTTTATACTGATATACCGAACACGTTGATCATCGATATCTTAGAAGAACGAAGAATATAAATTATATTTGATTAATTAATAATATTCTTATATAATGAATACTTTCCATGTAAGTCCGTAATTTAATATTAATTATTTATAATCGGATAATTAATTAGACGTATCGTTTTGAAACGAACATAATTAACTGATTTGAGTCGATATTTTTATGTGAAATTATCATTTCTTATTAATTATTGCATGATAATGAAAATTAATGAATTCACTATACATGATGAAATTAAATTTTAATAAATTAAATATACTTAAAAAATATTAAATTAAATTAAATACTATATTGCAAATCTTAATACTTGCATAGAATGTCGATTAATTTAGAAATCCGCAATCCCAATTAATATTTATACTAATTGACTCCAATTAAACTAATTTTACAATTTCAACCGAAGAGGTAACTTAAAAAACACTAAGTTTATATGTAAAATAATTTGTAAAAAGTTATGATGATAAATATAATATTCAAATAAAGTGAATAAATTTCTTATTTTTATTTTGCTACCTTAAATATTTATTAATAATCAAAATATATTGTAATTGTCCGTACTGATTAAGATGTACTTTATTAGGAACATATAAATAAGTATTAAAATGATGAAATTCTCTGTTACGTCAATTTGTATATATTCATACAATTTATATGAAATTGTTAAATTAAATAATTTATAACTATCAATATAATAGCAATAACCATTAAACCTATAAACAATCATACCATACCGTTTGATTTTGATAATTATTCGTTCCTTCTTAATTATCATTTCAAGGAAATTCATTGGTTTAGTTAAATTTTTTGAAATTTTTATAAACAAATATTATTGATATTGTAATTAGGTATAACTTTTAATTATATAAATAAAAACTTATTTAAATCAAATATGTTTATGTTTTATTTGAAAAATTTTGTAGTTTTTTTTTCATAAATTTTCTTTTTATTCCTAAATTCATGAAAACATTAATTCAACAAAAATTTACTTATTTCATGCTCCCTGGCACTGAATATACGTTTTTTATTATTTAAAGAAAATAAAATAAATAAAGATGTATTGAAAGTTTCATGGTAAATGTCTCTACTTGAGATGTTATAATTGGTGGAGGTGGCAACTCTTTTAAAATACTCCATTTGAGTGTAGATGTTAAGCTCTGATAATTTCCCCATTTTACCGATAAGTATTTTTAGTATAATTTAAATTTGTTAATACTACTGTTTTTAAAGTTACTGAAACTTGCAATATTAGTATAGAAATTTAACTATCAACTACATGTTATATTAATTTTAATATTTTTTTTTCTATGAAATGTACAACGCATGTATTATTAAAAACAATTTTTGGAAAAATTTTTAACCTATAATATCATAAATTCTGTAAGACACTGTTTTTTTGTTAATGTAACAATATATGTATTTTATTAAGTTTATTATCGAATCGAAAAATTCTATCAATAAATCAGACTGACATTATTGGTAAAAATAAGATTTACAATAAAATTCCCTTTACTTATTTATTTTATATTGAAAATATATTACATATTTATTATGTATAAGATAAAATGAATAAGCGAAGGGAGTTTTATGCGTTCTATTCTAGAGTTTTATTTCTATGAAATATATTAGTTTTTTTCAGGCGCGCGCGCGCGCGCGCGCGTGTGTTTGTGTGTATTTGCGCGTAAATAAAAATGATTTTTTTTTTTAAATTAGACAAGGATAGCGTAAACAATGAATATAACAGTATAGTAAATGATTATAAATAAATAAAAAATAGTATAATTATGATAATAATGAAATAAGTAAAATAGAATTAATTAAAAATATTAATTAAAATCCGGATATATTAAGATGAAATGAATATATTAATCGAATTACGAATTCTACCCTTTCTATAATATTACATGAATATGAAAAATCAGACTTTATAAAAAGTGAAAGCGAAGATTGAAAAATTCTATTAAATAGCCATTTATAAGGTTCCAAGTCTTTGCATTATTATGTCAGCATATATAGAAAATTCATCCATGTAAGTGAAATTTTGTTAAATCTTGAGTCTACGTTAGAAAAAGGCAAGATATATCAATACAAATTTATAAAGCATAAAAGCATCAAAAACTGGCAAATATTTAAATTATTTTAAAATTACAATTTTCCATTCTCATGTTCTTCATTGATATTTAAGTTTACATTAAAAATATTAGTTTAAAAGGTGCACGATAAAGATAAATAACAACAAATGTACTTGCATATGCGAGTTGGATATCGAAGGGAAAATCGATTGGATATCGGAAGGAGCATCCGGATGTTGGTGATCTGGTGCGTCGAGCGCACCCTCACTACATTAATCGAGCAAGGCCGTTAAGAAGGAAGTTTACTTACGACGTCGATGAGCTGCGAGAGCTTGAGCTTTATGCAGACGCGAAGCACGTCGGAGGTATTGACGACGGGCCTAACGAGCTTATTGTAGTTGGACAGCAGGTCGTCGTAGAGCCGCTTCGCGTCCGGATTGCCGGCGACGGCCCCGTGCACCACCAGTGCCGAGAGCAGCCACACGCGCAACGTTTCCCCGATTGTCGGGGGCATCCTGACTCGGGCCCAAGGCTGAACTCCAGGGCGCCGGCGACTGCTCTGCAAATTCAAGGACATTATTCGTCTTGATCTGGTGTAGAGGATGACTATGTGTTAAACATGGCGTTTAAGCATAAATTTCAGAGATATTAGCATAAATCATAAGCATGATCAGGGAATGGACGATCATCCATTTCCAATACGATGAACATAGGTACAAAGGGTTTTTATTACAATTACAAGACATGTATTTGAGAACAAACAGGCGACAGCTCTGATATATATATATATATATATATATATATATATATATATACGTAAACACTTAAAAAATTTATATAGATATATAAAAATTTAGCCATTAATATATTTTTAACAAAACGCTTTTTAGTAGTTGGAAGGTGACTTTGTATTATAATTGTAATTGGCATTTTTTAATTATCAAATTTATTATTTAAAATTACGAAAAGTTCAGAATAATGACTCTATCATTGTTATGAAATTTTTTTATAAGAAATATGCTTTTCATGATACAAGAGAAGAAAACTTTGTCGCAAATTTAATTTATAACATAATTATTATAATGATAATGTGGGTAGACAAATACAAATAAAGCCACCCATATTGAGAATTGTGCGGTCTTGAAGCGAAATATTCCTAATTAATAATTAAAGTACTCCGTTTGAAGAAAACGTGATTTAAAATAAAAAATTTTTTGTAACTTTTTTGTAACTTTGCGGCTAAAGTTTCTCCTTTAATGACACTTTGTAGTGGAAAATTTGTTATATAGATCGTATGAACAGATATTTTATTTACATTTGAATATATTGTGAAATGAGATCACGAAATTCACAACTTTTGGAAATATACCTTAATAAACTTTTTTTTTATATTTAAATAATTGAATCACCGCCGATGATACCAAATTCTACTGATTATTAAAGTTAAGCACCATGTGGTCTGACCAGTATTTGGAACCATTTCAGCTAACACGATGAAAGTTCGTAAAAACTGGTTAAGCAAAATACAGTCAACAGAGTTTTAAAAATCCCTTTTATTAAAAAGTTTTAAATCCTCAAAAAAAAAACTGATTTACAAATATAAATTTTAATCATTGCTCATAACATTAATTAATAGTTTTAATATAATACATTGTTTTGATAATGCAATTAAAAGTGCAAGCTCGTATCTTAAAGTCAAAAGCTAAATGATTATCATGAATAAATTTTTAAAAAAATTATTAAAAATGCCCATCGTTGTTGTAAAAATGAAATATTGTCACTAGTGGAGTGTAAATTATTCTAATATTTTGAATTGCAAAAATTATGCTAAATCAATTTTTTAAAAAAAAAAATTTTTATATTAGTATATCAAGTGCATGTGCCCACTTTCTCCCGTTTCAAGCCTAATGCTCTTAAGATTACGCTTATATTTTTATTTATAAACTAATAAACCGAGCACTTTTTAACCCTTGCAAAAATTGTAAAATTGTAATTAACTGAATAATTTCTTTTTTTAGACTTTTATTTTGATAATGTAATGAATTCCGTACATCTCTTATAAATGAAAATTCCATTTTTTCCTGTGCCTTCATTGATTATTATAAAACAATATTATTCGAAGACTATCTTATGAATAATTTCAATTAATAAGAATGTACATATAATTTTCTTATCCAATAATGTTGATAAAATGAACGAATATAATAATTAATTATATAATAAGTATTTACAATTATACATTCGCATATAATTTGCATAAAGCAATAGAGAAAATAATGTTGAACTGATTTTCGGTAATGTATAAATGTATTAAATCGATGTAAATCAATCAACCAGTAATTAATGCAATTTATTTGTTCAAATATATATTTACATAAATTTTAGTTGCAAATTCTATTCTCTGTCTTTTTTTACCATCATTTATCACTGTAGCCTATTGTTTTTACCTTTGTCTCTTTTTACTTATTCAATCATCTGAAATTTAAATTTACGATAGGACTGATTAAAAAGAGACAAAGAATTCATTTTCATATAATACCATTTCTAAAATGTACAGATATATATATATATATATATATATATACATTTAGTTAATTTTATTTGGAAAATGTCATGTGTAAATTATAAATCCATATATTTTTTACGGTACAACAATTGTATTCAAGTTAGTATTAACAGTTAATAAGTCGTAATTTTATGGATTGGCAGCAATTATATCTTTTCTTTGATTTTATATCAATGAACAGAAGATACTTGAGCACCAATAGAATTTATTATAATAGCCTCTATAGCTAAATTTTTACAATGTCAGTATAATTTTATGTAAAGTAGCAACAATTCTTGTTAAATATTTATAAAACTCTTATATTAAAAATATTTGTTAAAATGTATCATAAAGTTGTATTATTGATATTTTTCTTGTTGAATCTACGCTTTAATATCAATTAGCATCCTGTTCTTATATTACATAGACTAGTGAGTAAATACAAATATAGATATAAAATTATTTTATTCACGTTGCTTAGTTAAATTTGAGTTGACTAACTGTACTGAATAGTCCATTGCCAAGTCCTTGTTTCCATACGTATTTTCCACTATACATCAAACCGATAAAACAACTTTTATTGCATCGTTGACACGAGTCCGTTGAAAACAAATTAAAAGAAGGGCGCGTCATTGTCGTTACCTTCATCGATTTCTTGCCTTATTCACTACGCAATTTATGCAGAGATATATAAATACACATGAATGCATATATACATACGTGTATTATTCATATGCACAAGTGCGTTATTTATATACATACATACACACACACACACACACACACACACACACATATATATATATATATATATATATATATATATATATATATATATATATATACATACTAACCCGCATCCGCTTGTATAACTCTGTATGCAATTAAATACGTGTATGTGCGCGCGGGCGGGCGCGTGTATATACGTATAATGCGGGTAGTGAACTCAAACTCGTCTATCTCATCTTTCTACTGTTCGCGTCTCATTACTGCAACGATTCCGCGCTACCGAGAGAGACGAGCTTCCGTGAGCAATTAACGCTGTACGGAAACTATCCGGATTTAGTAGGACTGAGATATATGTAGGGCAGAAGGGGAGTAACTCTCGGCTTTAGTGAATGAATTAGTCCGAAACAAATAGTCATTGTGTTTTTAGTCCAATTAAAAGGAAAAGTTGCATTTTGTTGAATATGATACTTGGAAATGTTTCAACCAGCTGTACTTATAACTGTACGAACAATATTGCAATTGTAAAATAAATATAAAAATTACTTACTATTATATTACTTATACTTATATTGTTCATATTAATCACTCAAACTCTTTAAAGGATAGGAAACTCAACTTCTTTTTAGCTTTATATTTATTTCAATTCCACGGACAAAGGGAGACGAGAAGCTTTTATAAAGTAGTAAGAAGTTATGACAATTAGCGTTTAAGTAATAGATCCGTTATTTAAATTTTAAATGTAAAAGAAAATATTCGCAAACTTTATCTTTGGCTAAAATTGTGCTTTGAAAGAAAAAGAAATGTATAGATGAATAAATGTTCTATAAGTGAAAGCATGCATTATATTAAAATAAATTACGACGAATGATAACAGTAATTAAATTTAATTAGTTTTGAAAATTATTTATTCAATCATTTGTAAATTTATTACCGTTAATTTTTTAAGCTTTTTCATGGCAGTTTCATTTTCCATGAATTAATGGTAGATTAAAAAGATTTTGTTAAATATTCGCGCGTTTTCATTCGGTTAGTAAATTTCATTACACTTAGAGGTGTGAATGAAAATTATTTTCAACACAGATACACATATGCATGAGTGTATATATATATATATATAAAACATGGTTTAATATTTTAAGAGAGTGTCAAGAAAGAATTAATTTAGCATAAATACTAATAGAAAATAGAGAAAAGATATTGATTGTAAAAATTGCTATATTCTGAATTGCACAATAATTAAATTAAAAACATAAAAACAGATATAATGTCTTTATTGAATTATCTAAAAACAAAGATAAAACTAATGATAATAAAATTATTAATAAATTAATCATGGTGTATTTTGTACTTTTTTTTTTAAATTAATTTCTAAAAAAGTAACCGATTTTTCAACAATTTTCGGCTTGAAAAGAAAATTTTATTAAAAAATCGGCATTTAATAATGTTTTTCGAATTTCATCGATTCCTTTAAATGACAACATTTACTATTTGAAATAGCGAACGTGAAGATTATTCTTAGGAATTCAGTACTGCAGAATGGAAGCTTTCATTCGATTATTTTTCATATTAGTTCCGCTAATCATCCTTAGTGCCCACAATATTTTCAACCGATGAAGTTAAAAATTAACCTTTTAATTAACTTGGTTTCTACACAAATAATTTAACGTTTTAAAAATAAAATAGCGTGTCTACCGTAGTATTAATTCATTGAATTATAATTAAAAATTGGAGTACTTTCAATAATCCCTTCACAATCGGCTTTCCAAACAATCCACATCCGAGTGGAAAGTGTCTCGGAATTGCAAATATGAAATATCAACATCGTTTAAAGGAAAATAACGTTTCACCCTCGTAAAATTCATGGGAGTTCCGCAGAAACACGATAGCATAATTCAAAAAGCTTCGGTGAAAACTCTTGTTGTCCTCGTTCTCGAATCTCTCTAGTCCCAAAATACTAGCTGGTAACATCGAGATTATGAGCGCCAGGATAATCCGCGTCCAAAGCCGTCCCCGCCGAGTTCAGCAATAGATTCTTCGGGCATTCGTAGTAAAAGCTCGGCAGAACGCGTCCTCTCATTCCCACACTAACTTTGCGAATTTCAACGATTAATATATAATAATGTTCTGTCCAGTTGGCGCTCCCGCGATTTCCAAGACGGCAAGTCAACAAGAAATAGGGTAGCGGAAGAGTCGAAGGTTAAAGGGAAAAAAATCATAAATGCTTTATCTCGCTCTGTCATTGGTCGTCGAGCAGTTTCATTATAATGGAATATGCGAGTTGCGGCGATCCTCGCATAATTATCGTCAGGATAGCTATAAAGGGGCGAGCCGTGAAGGACTGCTCTAATCGCAAAAACACCACAGCCTTTTGTTGAAAATAGCACGAAGCGGCAATGAGCGATCGACATTAGTCAACAAAAAATTTGTAAGCTTTGAGTAAGCCCAATGTCTCGCAACCCATCTCTCTCTCTCTCTCTCTCTCTCTCTCTCTCTCTCTCTCTCTGTGTGTTGAAAAATAAAAGGGCCCAAGTGCAAGCGATTTCAAGCGAATGAGGATTGAGCGTCTCTTACTGAGTTTCGCGCGCTCACTTTGTTCGTCACGTGCAAGATGTGATACGCAACGAACGTGGATTACATCTGCACAGCTTTGTCATAAGCCAGTCAGCAGCCGATCGTCCCCGGCGTCTCCCGATGACGTCCCAGCGACGGCCGACACTCCGGCCCAGCCTCGCGCACTCCAGTCCACGCCGCCAGGGCCGCGGTCGTTAGGACGCAGAAAGATCGAGGAGGAGGGAAGGAGGGAGCCAAGGGTGGCGAGCCGCGCCGTTCACACCGCAAGAGCTTCCGGGAGAGCCGCTGCACAAGCACGCACTGCACCCACGACTGACGGCTCGACGCCGCTCTCGCTCGCCTCTGGCCGAGTCGCGCCATCTCCCCGCCAGGGGGCGACACTCGCCCTCCCAGGAGCTGGGAAGGGGCGAGAAAGCGCCCGTTGAGAGCGTTGCGATATCGAGTTGCTGGATGCTGATGCTCGAAGAAGACTTTGACCCGCGACTCGAACGTGGTGCCGTTCTCTGCGGGTGCACTTCCCAGTCCCCAGCCCCTACGTTCCACCACACTCTGCTTCTCATTTTCTATACATCAACTTTATCCTCTCTTGCTCGTCATTCACGACCAATATTTAATAGCCCCATTCGCCTCTTAATTTCTTTTAAACGAGTCTTGGAATGTCTGGATTTCTTACTCGCAAATAGTTTTGACATATTCAAGTATTTTTATAGATTTGACACGAACCATCTGCGGACGAAATTTAATAGAAATTCGTGTAAATAGTAATGCTTACATTAAGCTTACTTCGGCATTTGCCTTATTTCCGATGTCCAGTTTTAAAAAGGTAATTTAAGATAATTTGTTTTTAGCATTACTCTTTCTATACCAATAATTGATATCAATTTGTAGAAATTAACGTAGAAATTAATTTAAAATTTACTAATAAACTGCTTGTGTATGTATGTATGTATTCGGCAACAATTATTAAATCTGATCGTTTGTTGTAACACCGCAGTAACGTTGTGTAACACAACATAATGAAATTCTAAGGTTATAAAATTTCTATATCTTTAATTTAATTATTATTAATTATTGATGAACTTTTAAACTATTTTTTTAAATTTCCTATGGGTAATATTCGACATGCTTGTACCATTGTTAAAATGTAATGATAGCAACTTCAATTACAAATAATATATAGAAATAATTTTGTAATCAAGGAATAGATATATCATTTACGCATATTCTTAATTATTTTTTTAATAAAAGAATCCGAATAATAGTAATGTATTAAAAAACAAAAAAAAAAAACAAAAAAAAAAACAAACAAAAACAAACAAAAATAACTAATAGATTATCCACGCATAAACAACAATGAAAATTAAGTATTGTTATGAACTTTAACATTGTAGATAAAATTGATGTTTATGATGCATGAAGGAGCAACTGAGGGATTAACGCTCAGAGTCTAGAGCATGAGGAGGGCAATTCCACAGACGGTGTAATTACCTTCACAAAAAGCCGAAAAATTCATCATCCGAAGATTGACTGAATATCCTAATTAATCTAATCAGGTAGTCCAGGGATTTCAACAAGGATTGAAATCTCAATACAAACGAAAATCAGTGTAAAATTCAAGTACAATATTGAACAATGAGAAATATTAAATTACCAACAATTATTTAATTGTTATTGCCAATTAATTAAAAATGTCTATCATGTTGACATTATTATTATTTTATTTCAACTAAACAAGTCGATCTGTATATAATTTATAATTTCTACGCATATACTAATATTTATAAATGTTACAATTAAATGTTAAACCTCAAGAATAATTACAGATTAAGGAAGAGATTATTAAAAATGTCCACATTAGTACTTTCCAGTAGATTTCCATATAACTTTAAAGTATCATTGAGTTGTATTCTTTTAATAACTGAGAGTTATATGCGTATCCGCAAATAGTTGCATATAGTCGACAGAAATTGCACGAGTAAAGATTAATCTAAAAATTCAACACAAATATAACTATCCATATTTTCCAATATAATATTTTTAAGCTGAAGCTTTTTTATACGCAAATTTAGAATAAAAGTCAAATTTAAGTCATTATAAAATGGCAATTATCGTAGTTATAGGTATGAGAGAACGATTAATGCCATTAAATAAATATAATAGTGCTAAGATTACACAAAGTTTATAACGTAAAGATAATGAATGCTTAAGCATAGTAAAATTAAAATAAACAGAGAAATATATGGAGGTAGAGAAAACATTAAAGTATCATTAAATATTACGTGTGACCTTTTATAATTTAATTAATATTCAAATATCTCAACTATTGAGGTTAATGATATAGGATAGTGAATTACAAGAAATTATAATGCATAGCACTTATGTTTCATAATAATAAAGAAATAAGGAAGTAAAGAATCGTACGAGTAGCGAAAAGTTAAAACAAAACAATAAATATAAAATATATTTATCACATTATAGTATAAAGATATTTGCAACACTGGAAAACTTACGATATGTGGTGTTTGAATTCAGAATAGAAAAACAGAATTATGTAGTAGAATTTCATTTTCGAAATTGAAAAATAATAGACCATGAATAGACTACAATTGACGATGGGAAGATAATATCTAGTTGAAGTTAAAAAATGTAGTACATGGTCTATACTTGGTGCTGTCGAGTACAAAATACCAAAAATTTTCAATCACATTTGTTTAGGTTAACTAATATTCAAAATTTAATATAATTCATTATAATTTGATTATAAATTTAAATGAATTAATATGATGCAATAATGAATCTTTCATTCCTTTAATACATACAATATATCTTCTTTATTTATAAAAGTATTGCATAATAATATTTGTATTATTTTTCTTATAAATTTATATAATAATAACAATGTTAAATTATGAGATCAAATTTGCTTTAGACATATTTTAACAAATTTTAGTTGATTTTTCATACAATTAAAACTTTTCATAATTCACTTGGTGTTAAAAAATATTGAAATATTAAAAATTGTAAGCCATTAAACATAATGCATATCTAATAATATTTATATTTAAAATAATACAAATAATTATTGTTCAATTCCAAGCACTTTTATTCTATATTTTTTTATTATATTTATAACTAATCCAATTGATTTAATAAATAATCATATTTTCTCATCGCAAGAGTAAATAAGTATATTTAAGTTTATTATGCTTAAATTTAATCGATTTTAATAATTATTAATTTATTAAACTGAGGTTGACTCGATGAAATTTCATAAAATACATTAATTAAGAAAATATTCTTAATACTTGTAAGTCGATTTAATTACTCATTGCTTAGAATTATTTTTATGAGACTTTTATGAGGCTTCTTTATTTAATTCTCGCTTATAAAAATTGCATTCGCATATTAAGAATTAGGAACTTATTTATTAATATATAATAATTTATTTTATCTATATAAAATAATTAATAGAATTATTTGTTTATCCAAAGACTGCAATTTTACCAAGATAGTTTATATTAAAATATAGCTTTTGAAATGCAAACGACTTTAATGTTAATATATCGTATCGATGAGAGTAACCATCAATTATAAATTTCATTAGTCATATTAATATTTTATTTGAACATTTTTGCAGCTCTATGCTGTTTTATTGTAAGGAGTTAGTAAATTTATGCCTTGCATAAAATGGAGAATTTTTTTAATTGAATCCCCTCATTGATATACATCAGCACAATATATAGACCAGCGAAAATTGGTTTTACACATGCTCTTAATGCTACAGTTGATACATCCGCTTGAAATATCGTTGGACGATATATTATTCGCTGGGTAGTATATAAAAGGAATAAATTGATATTTTACTGGGTATTATTATTGTATTATTCTTTTTTTCTATGCTTATAAATGCACAGGTATATTGATAAATAATATTAAAATAAAAACTGTTTATCGATAATTGTAGGATTAATGTGTCTAAAGAATGACAAATATGACGGAATGTATAAATTAATATCAGCGATTGACATTTTATTTCATTTTCTCGTAGCACAATGTTCGTAAATCAAATTAAATAAATTAAAGCAAAAGTAGATTTTCTGGGTATTGGAAATAATGTTCATACAGTAGACTGGGCTTATGAAAAAAATTATAATTTTTAAAGCAAGTGATTTTGATTTGTTAAGATTAACTTTTTCAATTAATTACATTAGACGTAGCTAGAAATACCTTAAAAACTTTCGTCAGTTACATAGAATTTATTATTATATAAAAAAAAAACGCTATCTTCAAAATGCTAAAATAGTTTTTAAACTGAATCTATTAAAAATAATGGAATTTATAACTTTCTTTTACGAATCCCCTAACATCGGATTTTCCAAAAATATATTTACAGTGTAAATTGAATGGATACATAAATATAAAAAATAATTATTTCACCAACTGTTTATACAAAATTTATGCAACATAAAAAAGTGATAATATTATCATATTTTATTTATTTTATAATTAGTTTATTTATTATTAGATATCTCGTTGGACCAATATCTAAAATTTTGAACAAAGTATTTTTTTTTTTTTTTTTATTTTTTTTTTTTATACTAAAACCACTTATGCACAATACTTAATTATGAAAAAATAAATAAAAGTAATAAAAATATAAACTTAAATAAATATAAATGTCAAATTTTTTTCATATATAGTATGTCATTCACAGTATATTTCGTAAAGTTGATTGTAAATCGATCTTTATTTGATGTTGTATTGCATTTTATGAATTATATATTAATAGATTATATTACGTTAAGCATTAGATACATTATTCAAAATTGAAAAAATATAATAAATATAATTAATGTAGAATTTCTATTAACATTAATGGTAAAAAAACAAATTAATTAATGATATTGTCTTTCGTCAACCAATGCCCCAACTAATTCAGTAGTATAGCCTACAATTAGTCCGACGATGGTACTATCCCATATACTGTATTTTATGCCAAAAAATAGTAAATATTATTACATTGGTTTATAGTGAGCAAGTGCTTGTATTTAAATAAAATAATTGTTTGTTATTTCAAACTTAATATTTTATGTCTATTAAGGTAGTAGTTATATTTATTTGGGAATCTAATTGCCAGTACAGATTTA